TCCAATAGGAAGTTGCCTCTTGCAGTTGGAAATGCAACACCCCCCCCCCCTCGGCTTTTCTTCACAGGGACCGTTTGTAGGTGTTGGGCGACCAGGCAATGCCGTGCCAGGTCAGGCTAACAGCCCATTGTAGTGGCCAGACTGGCTCTCACAGGTAGGGCAGGGGGGCAGCAGCCCCCTCCAGCCCTTGCTTGTTTGTTTATTTATATTGCGATTTATATCCTGCCTTTTTCCTGCAAAGGGCTCAAGGCAGCTTACATCTCCTCCTCCTCCATCTTCTCCCCACAACAACCACCCTGTGAGGCAGGCTGGGCTGAGAGGCTGTGACTGGCCCAAAGTCACCCAGTTGGCTCCATGGCTGAGTGGGGACTCGAACCCAGATCCTCCGAGTCCCAGTTCTGTGCTCTTCACCACTACACCACACTGGCTCCCATGTTCCCCAGCAACTGGTGCACAGAGGCACACTGTCTCCGATGCTGGAGGGAGCACCTAGTTCATCAGGACTAGCAGCCTTCTCCCCTCTAAATTTGTCCAAGTCACTTTTCAAACCATCCATGTGCCTGGCTGTGAAATGTCTGCCAAAAATTAGACCCCTCTTTGGGAAGCCTACCTGATCCCCGGGGAAATTCACTCCTTCCATAATTTCATCCGTGGCCTTTTCTCCACACATGCAGGTCACACATGGGTGGACTCTCCTGAGTCTCTCTCTCTTCCAAATGGGAAATGTAACGGAATATTCCCATCCCAGGCACTGTAAACAGGCCAGAGTACTCAGGGGCCTGATTCACACATGCGGGTTTCTTCCCCCCACCCCTGCTCCGTGCAATTTGCCTAATTACTCCCCCCTCCACATCACGTGGGTTGCCACATCGCCCAAAGCCAGCAAGGGGGGGCATGTTCCAAGACAGCCCAAAACCTTACCACACGCCCTCAGTTCTGGGATAGTTTCGAAGCTGCATGCGCCGTGTGCCTTGCCATGTTCGGACACTGCAGGTGGGCACAGGCGGGCACCACTCAGGGGCTGCAGTTGGCATGCGCATGCGTGGGGAAAAGAAGACCCTGTCGCTTCTCTTCTCCTCTGATGTCTGAACCCGGCCACCGGGTGGGTTCACACAAAAGGATAGGCCACGGTAGCTGATAACCCAGGTGGTTGTGTTGTCTGAATCCAGCCCGCATGGCTGAAACAACCCAAGCTGCTGGGTTTGGGCCACACCACAAACTCCCCTTGGTTCACTTATTTCATTTAATCCACTGAGCTGGGTTAAATAAGCAGCCGGGCCAGAGGTACGGGCCTTGTGGATTAAATTTCAGGTCTCATCTGGATCTGGACAATATAGTTAGCTTAGGGGTGGCCATGAAACCATCCAACAAGCCATCACTTGGCGGGGGCTTTGTAGCTGCCAAAAATGCACCCTGAAAGAGGCGTTAAGCTCTTGGAACACCAATGCAAGGGGAAGAGAGCAACTGGGGGCCCCTTGGAGCAGCAGGAGACACGGTGTTGGTGGAATGAAGATGCTCACTGGGATTATGAAGACCCGTTTGGATGCTCAACTGCAAAGCTCACTGAGTGACTTATCTATTAAGGAAGAGGCCGTTGTCGAGCGAATGGATTATATCTTCAGGAGCTGAAATTGGAAAGGAGGCATCTCCTCTCTCACCAACAGACCTGATTTCGGGCCTGCACCTTCTCTCAACTTTATTCCCCTGCCCCACCCTTCCCTCCAGAGTTTTGGACTAATGAAAGCGAGAACAGCATATTGCCTGCTCTGTAATTCCCCAAGCCATCCAGGGCTAACCTCCTGGGTTTTCGTTGCTAGGTTTTAATAGCAGAAACGGAAGATGTCTCAAAGCCACTTGAGAAATTAAAAGTTGCTGGGGTGGGGGGAGGAAGGAAAAATCTACATGCCTAATTCCCTTCCAGGCTGGAAGCAGATTTGGGCTTCGGAATAGGGCAGTTATAAAAGCAAAGCATTGCCAAGATTCTACAAGATCAGATTTTAATTTGTAGTGGAGTGTGGGGTGTGTGGGGGTGTGTATGTGTGCATATAAGAGCCAATGCATGTGACCTGACAGGCACACCGCAAGATAAATGATTGTCTCCAAAGGCATTTCAAGCCAAGCTCTCCTTTCATAGACAAGCTGAATTTAGCTCCAGTAATTTCCAACGCCATGCAGTGGTGCGATTCTATCAGAGTTCTTCAAAGACTACGCACGGAGGCTGTACAGCATCCCCTTACCCATGGAACCCCCTCATCTTTAGTGTAAACCCCACAGATGCCCCATAATTTGAAAGGGAAGCCTCCTCTCCCCTCTGTTAAAATAATTAAAAAGTTGTCCACTGGGATGCAAGCAGGGTGGGGATGGTGGGAGAGAGAACGCAATCTGAGCAGAACTTGTGTGCCGACTTCTGTAACGCCGGGAGCAAATGGACCCAAGGTTATTACCTCCAAGGGAGTCCAGAGAAAACTGGCACAGGGTGGAGGTGGCGGCAGCACTGGGGGAAATGTTGGAAGCAGCAGCCTTGCCCTGTGCAACCGGATTCAGACAAGCAACTGGTAACAAGCGAGCAAACAAGGGGGCTTGCCTTTGATCTTATCCATGAAGGCTTTATTAGAAAACGGCATGTGTTGTACCACCTTATCCTAAAAAACCCAGTCTAGAGAGGGAGTTAACTCTTACAAGTCAATGGTGGTTTCTAGAAGTTTCCTTAGGTTTAAGGTTGCTTTTCTGTGCACATTTGCCTTGAGTTGAAGGCAGTGGGACTTCTAAACTGAAGAATAACACGATCGACTCAGAATGAAGAAGTTTAGCAAACAGCCTTCCTTTGTTTATAAGAGGAAGGTGTTACAAAATGTATGCAACACCAAACAGCAGCAGCTGCAACAGCAATAACAGACTTAGTATCCACGGAAGGAAGTCTCTATTTCCTCCGTAAATTTACCTGCAACTCCAATTGTAGCGTTGGCTTGTTAAGAGCAGAGGGGAGGGGTTCGTGTGCGTTTCCTTAAGCGAAACTGGGTTGCAAAATGATGGGAAAGTAGCAGAATTTGGAGATGCATGCACAAGGGAGCCCTTTCCACAGCAAGGGAAGTGCACAAGAACAAAATGAAAGCACTTGTGTACTTTTGCAATGGCTTATTCTGCAGTGCTGTAGGTAACAGATCTTAAACTTTAAAAGACGGTTTAAAAGTAGTCTGGGAATAGCCAAAATTCTATACTTGTCTATTCAGGTGTAACTCCCATTGCTTTCAGAGGAGTTTACTCCCAGGTAAGTGTGTTTAGGGTTTTATAGCCAAACACACAAGGAAATATAGTGTAAAGTGTTATTATATGGTGGCCATTTGTTTTAATGAGTAATAATTTATTATCAAAGAGTAAGTTTAGTATGAAACATCCCTCGAGAAACAGCATCAGATTTCTACTGTATAAGACAAAATTCGGTTGGGGATCCCCATAAAACTACCTCATCAAACCTACTACTTACTGCCGCTACTTACACTGGAGGAACCCCCATTGAATGGGCCTTATGCTTGTGTGGAAATACATCCTAAATCCAAGTGGATGGCCCTTGCATTAGAAGGAAGAAAATATAACCGACATCTGAGCATTAGGGTTTTTAAAAGGTCACCCACATTGTTCTGAAACATAAAGTCCAGAAATATTGGGATGGGAAGTGCTGTGAAGCCTTGATGGGGAGGGTTAACTTAGAAGGGATAACGGGGATCGGGGGGGGGGGGTTGGAGACTTCTGGCTCTAGTCTCGAATAAGGGGCGGGCTGGATCCTGCGGAGACTTTCAGTGGGAAAGGCGCTGCCAAGCAAGCGTGTACCAGCAGCCTTATTTTAACCGTTTCTTCCCCTCCCCTCCCCTCCCCAGAACTGATGGAGTTCTTTCTTTAACCCCGGTAACATTTACAAAATGGGATGCCAAAGCAATTTGGAGAGGAGGTTAAGAGAGGATGGGAAAAGGACGACTTGAAAATCGATTTTTAAAAGAAAAAAAAATATGCATCATTTTGCATCCGATCGATCGGGTGGGAATCTCGATCGATAGCATACACACCCACCCACCCCAACGTGGAGCCATAGATCCAGCTGCTCCTTCCTCCGCTAGAATATTATATACACGGATTTGGAAAGGCCGTCGGCTTTGTAGATAGTCTACACATCCAGAGAAATTGGGGGGGGGGGGTCGAGAAGGGGGAAAAGCTGGTCTTGAAAAGCATCCTTTTTAGAAATGTCCTTTCCTCCCTCTCCACCCCCCCGCCCCACTTCGCTCCAAACACTCCACCCAGCTCACAAGATGGCTTCCACCGGTCGTAGATGAGACTGCACCAAAAGGGGGGGGGGATAAATTAAAAGCGCGCACACACCGGTTCTTTCGGTTAAAAGAAAAAGGAAGGCCATCACTTTACCCGCCCTCCAAGAACGTCTCTGCAGCCGGCTCCCTCTTTTTGGGGCGGGGGGGATCGGCGATCAAGATCAACCCAATTACGCGCTTTGCTGCAAAGCTGAGCGCATGCCATGTTCCGGGACTTCCAGGGCTGTGCCGGAGGAGGAGACGCCAGGCCCGGGTGGGTGAACGGGCGGGGGGGGGGGCGCTCAGTCCCGCTCTGGGGGTGCTTGCAGAGGGAAACAGTCTGGGCGAAGGGCGCACCCCTTTTTCTCGCTCTCCGAGGCGCGTTCCGTCTGAGGCTGCCATTGCTTGGATGCAGCGGGGGAGGCCCCTCGGATCAGGCTGAACAGCCCCCGGCCCGGGCAAAAAGGCTAGCTTGCGGGGGGGGGGGCTGTGGAGGGAGAAAAGGGTGCAGGGCAGGCGAGCAGAAGCGGAGAGAGAGAGAGAGCCGCTTCTAATAAAAGGCGGATTTCTCGCTCGGGCCTTCCGGGAGCGGCGCTTGGGGAAGGCCGAAGCGCAGCCGCGGCGCGTCGTTGGCGGACTGGAAAGGGGCGCTTTGCGCGGCTTTTCTGCTGAGCAGCCGCTCAGTATCCACAGGATACGTACCCCGCCTTGACTGCGGCCTCGCGGAGGATCCGGGTGCGAATACATCGAGCGGTGATTTGGAAAGGAAAGGAAAGGAGAAGCCGGCCTGGAAAAGCCCCCGCGCGCCTCGCCGTTCCGCAGAAGGGCGAACGCGGCGACCGGGCGGGTACCCTGGAAGGAAGCGTGCCAAGGCCTCTTTGCGTGCTGGAGAGACACACTTCCTAGCCACCCCCCCCCAAAAAAGAAACCCACCCACCAGCCCCCTGTGCTTGCCTGCACTCCTTAGGGAAAAAGCGAGACGTCTGCTTTACGGCCATTGGAGCAGCGCTGAGAATCTGAGCTGAGTATCCGTCTCCGTGCAAGCTGAGAAAAGGGGGATTTCGAAAATCGTGTTTGGAAAAACGTTTTTTTTTTTTTTTTTTTGGGGGGGGCTAAACCGCCCCCCGGGTCTTTCTGCAGTTGTTGGACACGGGCCGGCCCCGCCCGCGTACCCCTCCTTTGTGCCCGCCCCCCCCCCCCCCCAATTCTCCTTGTTGATCCTTCGCTAATTTGGAGACCATCCATTTAAGTCCCGCTGCCAAGTTGTCACCCTTCCACTCGGCTGCGGGGCGGGGGTGGCTTGGCGAGGTCGCCGCCTGTAAGCTGTTGCTATTTTTTTACTCTCCCGCCCCCCTTTAAAAAAAAACCCCTTACCCTTTTTTTCCTTTCGGCTTATATTTCTATTTATATTACCTTTTCTCTCCCCCCCCCCCCCCCCCCCCCGTGTTTTCTCCCATCTCGCTCAGTCTTTCTGCTTCCTAAAGCGGGCAGCCTTGAAACCGCCCTCGCCCGAGCTCGGGGGCAGTTTGAAACTGCTCGAGTCTTTTTTTTAACATTTACACTGGAATTAAATGACGGGAGATTTCCCCTCCCCCCCCTTCTCTCCCCCCCCCCCCCCGCCCCAAGGCAAAGAAGTTTCCAAACGGGGTGTGTATTGACCTGTATTAAGCCCCCCCCCCCAAAGACGAAACTGGGACAGATTCTTTATGGAACACATTTTATTTTTTGCAATTCACTTCGGTTATCTCCTTAACTGTTTGCGCGAACCAAACCCTATCCCATCAAACTCGAAGAAAGTGACCTCTGGATAACACGGAACGAAATTCATTTAAACGTTACCACTAAAGTATGGGAGAAAGGGTATCCAAAAGCAGTGAAAGATTGAGCTAATTCCTTCCCTTGTTTTTTACATGTGTGACTATAATATTTGGGTTAGCATTTTTTAAAAGGAAACTGTTTCTTTTGCCAGCAAATAAATCGGAACTCCGGCTGGGTTCAAGGAAAACCTGAGTCAAACGGCTATGCAAGCCGAGGCGTCTTTTCTTCCTAGATTAACCCAAAATGGTCTGCCTGGAGAGGTTTACTCAGAAGCAAGTCCGGGGGTCCGGCGCCGCTTCCTCGCACCCGGCCACAGTTACTGGCACAGAAGTGCGAGGGCTGGGTTTCTTTTCTCAGTTTTACTGTAAAAGACTAATTTAAGGAGTCGCACCGCCGCGCTGTCCCCTCCCCTCAGACCAAGGTATGGAATGTGTGTTGTTCCGGAGGGGGGGATGGCGTTGTGTGCACCCCCCCGATGGGGAAACGGGTTACGGGGAGGAAACCACGGTGATTTCACTCCCCCCCACTCCACAGCCGAAGCAAAATACCAAAAGAGCCCCCCCCTTTGCTTTCTCCTCCCATAGTTAGTTTTTCTTGCACACAGAAAAGGGAAAAGAAGGGAGGGGGGGGGAGACCTCGGAACCTGGAGCCAGAGAGAAAGAACCGGGACGGGAGTCGTTCGGCCTCGGGAAAGCCGGGAGGCTGCTTCGCCTCCTCGAGAGGAGGAGCGGGGTGTCCGAGCGGGCACCCCCTTGCTGAGCCATGTAACGCAAGCGGCGAAGGGCGGCGGGGCTGCCTCCCAGCGCCAGCGAGACGCGCTTAGCTGCGCGCTTCTCTTCGCCCGCGTCGGCGCTGCGCGTTCCCACGGAGGAGAGAGGTGCGGGGGCACCGGGGCGAGGGTTCTCCGCATCGCAGACCCGTCCGCCTCGAAGGGCTGCAACCCGCAAGCTCTGTAGCGGGGCTGTGCGTGTGACGGCAACCCCGCCAGCTGGTTCCGAGCCCCGATCCGTGGCCACCGGCCTCGCCGAGACCCAGGACTGTCGCCCTGCTTCGGTACTTTTCCTTTTTTCTACCTGGATCGCTCGGGGCCCCAGACACGACGCCCGCAAGCAGGCAGTCCTAGGCAGCCGCGCGGGGTCTGCTCTAGAGTAAGCGGGCTCGCGCTCTAGCGCGCACAGGGCGGCCCGCGGAGGAAGCCCCGAGAGGCCTGCGATCTCCTCGCAGAGGCTTCGTGGAGCAGCGACCGGCTTGGCGCCTGAGCCGAGCACGCGCGGGGAAGCAGGCCCGCCGGTGCCTCGATCCCGCCGCCCCTCTTACCTGCGGGTGAAGCCCCGCGCCGTGCGGCGAGGCTTACTCCCGAGTAAACGCGCAGGGTGGGAACCGATCTCCCCCTTCCCCGCGCCCCGCTCCCCCGCCCGGGTGGCGGCCAGAAGGCACGAGGCGGGGATCCTGCCCTCCCTCGCTCGCTCGCTCGCTGCACGTCGCGACCCTCCGCAGGCGCTCCGATCCTCCTTTTTCCTGCTCTGGCGGGGCGGCCCTGCCCCAGCAAGGATCGCTCCCCCCCCCCCCCCAAAGGTCCCCCCAAATGCAGGGCGGGGCAGGAGAAGGACGGAGCGGCCGTAAGGCGAGTCCGCGAGCAGGTCTGCGGCGCGGCGCGGCGAAGCCCAACCGCAGCCTCGCCCCCGCCCGCTCGGCTCCCCCAGCCCGGCCCGGCCGGCCCGGCCCGGCCCCGCCCGGAGAGGCGGCGGAGAAGGGGCAGCCTGGAAACCGCCACTCCGAATTCTCACCGCCCCTGCCAGTCATTCAGCCGAGCGCCGGCGGGGGCCTGGAAACCGCTGCGGAGCGCCGCCCCCGCCGCCTCCCCCCCAGCCATAATTGGTTTTATAAGGATGGCGGAGGGCCAAAGTGTTTACACGAGAGTGAGTGGCGCGCAGCGCAGCCAATCGGGGCGCCGCGGGTGAAATTTGGGCCGGCCGGGCCGGGGGGTGGGGCCGGGGGAACAATGCGCGCTTCATCGCCGAAAGAGTGCGCTCCCCCCGCTTCGCGCTTCCCCCCACACTTTTTTTTTTTTTTTTAAGATCCACGGAGAGGAACTTGAAAGGGGGTTTTGTGTAATGCACCTTTTCCAACCCTGGGCTGTATATGGAGATTTCGAAGCCTCCCGGCCAGCCACGCCGCTACCTGGGGCCGAGTGAAGCGCAGCGTCGCCCGGGCGCCCGGCCGCGCTGGACCCCGGCCC